GACGACTTCAGAGACAATCCAAACCCCCGACTCTCCTCACCCAGCCTGTATTTAGCATTGTTCTACGGCTAAGCGACGATTACATTTCTATTGAAGTTTCGCATATACTGTACAGAGGCACACAGGTGTTTTAATAGCGGTCAGCAAACACGTTTTTGGAACGGCCGACGGCCTAGCTCTTTTCTTTTGGGGCTAGATTCTTGATGAACAATGGCAGGGAGGTCTCCCGGCCACCTCCCCTCTGATGACTTAAAAGCTCATCTTGTCCGTGTCGGGGGTGTGCAGTAAACTTAAGTAAAGCTTCAAAAAAGCCAATAGTCAAGCTAAAGTATCACCCCAGTTGCAGTCCCTCTCTTTAGAAGAAATATCCTACTACTGAACAATAACCAAGACTTGTATCTGAACAGGCTGGAGAGGGGTGAAATTGGGGACACATCATGAAAAACACTCTCCAGTCGCATTGCTGCGTTACACCACCGCCACATATTTAATGCAGCTAATCAAGAAGTGCTCTGGCAGTATCCTAATGCTCTACAACCAAGTTTTTCTTTTCGTTTCCACTCCAGCTCTACGTATCGGGAAGCCCATCCCAACTATATTTTTCACTATCTATGGATGAAAGCAATGCGAACCAAGAAAGAAGAATATTGTTTTGAATTAAACCAGAAAAATAGCTATGGCAGAGAAGCCATGTAATGTGTGCGTTGGAATGTCAGAATTACTGTTTAATAAAAACTCTGCAGTACAATGCACACTTCAAACAATTTCTGACTATGAGAAAAATGATGCCACTAAACTGCAATTTTTAATCTATTTTTGCAGCATACTGACAAGAAGAAAAAAGTTCCAGGGTAAGAACTAAAAATTTCATTACAGTAACAATTTTTATTGCATGTTTAAAATGTGTTTTTTAAAAACAAATAGTGCACGCTGGCTTCACTTTAATCTCCTGAAATACGCCCTTATGATGGGAAGCCCTGGGGCTACAGATCCATCTATGATGTTTATTAACAAAATATAATCCCGGTACGCTTCCCCACGGGACAGTATTTAGTTCCAAAAGATTGTCAACCCTGTACTCTAACACACTTGAATTAGTTGTTTGTGTACACTAAATCCATTTATTTTAAATTTATTTTGTCTACATTTAGTGAAATAAAAACATCGCCCTGTACAATCCACCATCAGCAGTGAGTACAACAGCAAAAATTATTATACAGTTTATACACACTAAAATCTTTTCCTTTTTCCTATAAAGAAACCAGAACAAACCTAATCAATATAGAGTTTAATTTAGAAGAACTCAAATTACAGAAGGGAAAGCCAAAATTATTACGGTCTTTTCTGAGCCCCGAGAAGTTCCTGATTCATGTTGTTGGAACAGTGAGTGCAGCTGGAAGAGTGAAACATGCTCAAGTTGTCTTCTTGGGTCTTCAAAAAATTACCAAATATTTAAATTAAACATGGCTAGTTAAAGAAACATTGGAAGCAGAGCAATATAACTGGGAATTCTGCCTTACCAGTTGTGGTTTCTCTTAAACCCAACTTATACAATGCGCGAAGTGCTAAGCAACACTACAGAAACACATTTACATCAACACTGAAGATCTGGGGAAATGAAATTCCAACAATTTTATTTTTTTAAATGAGCTGTATTTTCTAAATTTGTTTTTATTTTTCTGTTTTCATACAGTATTGAAAACAAACGCGGCACATTCACATTTTCCCGAAGAATTGTAAGGATGATCTCTACAGGGCTAACGTTGAAAAGCCTGAAGCTCAATCAATTGATGTTGAAAACTCTCAAAAAGAGTAAAAGGCTCGATCTGAATGGTCTAGAACATGTATTGTAATTTAATAGAAGAGATGGTCATCTTAATATTAATGATTTAAAAGAACTTCCCAGTTCATGCGAAGAGTATAGTCCAAGAATAAATCAAATTTTCTGAACGCATTTTATGCTACGTAAGTGTATACTTTGCGATCCTCAGGTGTTCGCGCCAAATATTCTCTCTCAATAAGTCCTTCAATACGTTTTTTAATAACAACTGGACTTGGTAAGAATCGGGCCTTCAGCTGCTGAGTTACCTGAAACGCAAGATCAAAAACAATAATGTAAGATCACAGGGCAAGCAAGACCAGTAAATACCCTAACTGACCAAAATAATCAGAAAGATATATTTAGACAGGGCTGGCTACAACCATGAAGCATAAGAAGCAGTCTGCAAACTTCTGACAGTTCCCCCCCCCGGCCCCCATCAGTTGCTTGCTCATTTTTGGGTACGATTCAAAGTACTGACCCTCTACAGAGGCACGGTCACAGCCCGAGAATCCTCTCAATTTCACAGCCCTAAGGGAGTTCAAGAGTGGAAAACGCGTACTATTCCTGAAGCTGTCAGGACTTAGGAGTTAAGAGCAGCAGGACTCTCTCCCTCTCTGCTAAGAGCTCAAATCTCTCAAACCTGGACCCAACAGTCAGTAACAAGATTAAAGCAGAAAATAATTAATGTTAAGTACAGTGGGTTTTGCTGCCAACTGTTATTTCAAGGGATTTGATAACATCGTAATAGCGCTAAAAGGAGGAAGGAAAATTAGGTATACCCATGAGCACGTCCTAAACTGAAGCGTAAGGATTTAGATGTCTTCAGATAGACAAGGAGGAAAAAAAAAAAGAGGATGGATTAAATACAGCATCCCTCAAAAGCCTTTCAGAATCATGTTAGTGAGAGCTGTGTAACTTTCATGAATTAATAGGAAAAGCAGAACTAATTCCCAAGCCCGTATCAAAACTGTGCACAAGTATACCTCTGCTACTAGCACATTGTGTTGCATCTTCTTCCTAGATTTCATTATCCGAACTATAGCAGCTTCTATCTCATGTTTTCTGTCATCATCTACTTTCTGCCTTGTTTCTTTCCTTTCTGGATCAGATTCTCCTTGTTTGGCAGCAACTTAAAGAAAAGAAAGAGAATGTAAAGTACGTTAGCAAAATTAAAATTAATTTCGTTGTGTAAGTGTTAGCTTCACTATTCATCTAGACATCACGTTATATTTTCCTGAGTTTTGACATTCTCAAACTTGGTTGGTTTTTTTGTGGTTTTTTTTTTTAATGAAAAGCAGCCACAAGAACGTATTGACACTTTCTGGCATAATTTGATAGCAACTGACAAGGTAACAATCTGTTGTTTAATTATTGCTATGTTAAAATTTGAACAGTACTCAAATCTGCTTACAGGCACCACCAAGCCCCACGCTCCCATTAAATATTTTTCTCCTTTATATAGCAAATAATCCATTAATTAAAATCGAAAAAGGTTTGAAAATTTACTTCACAAACTAGTTACATACTTCAGAAGTTCATCAGTCAGAAGAAATAGTCCAACTTTATCCTCTCCAACTCCATTATACTCTTTGTATTCTGTTCTCCTCTTCTATTTATGCTTTATTCCTGCCCTTATGCCTAGCTTTTCTTACCCTTTCACCCAAGCATCGTTATAACCGAGCCCGCCTCCCACACTGCTATACCACCTTCCCCCCTGCCCTTCTTCACTCAAAAGCCCCAGGTATTTATCGGTTTGAAAGAGATACACGAAAGAAGTCTTCTGTGTAAGACAAACATAAAACCACGACTATCAAATTTGCTCTAAAACCACCTTGAACCCCAAACCATATTCCCCATTCAGAGACATCTGTGGAGTGGAAATGAAAAAGCAGAATTCCACTAAAGCTCGGACAGTTGTCACAGAATTTACTTTAATTATGCCAGGGAAGTGCCTTGGGCCCTGATCAGAGGGTTCTCAACATCCTCATGTGGCTGCTGCGCTCCTGCTCACCAGAAAAATTCTCCCGCCGTGGCAGATGTGTTGACACCACAGCACTCTGCACGCGCATGAAGACAGTCTAGCTATCGCTTACGCGGGGGGATACCTGTAGTGTAACGCACGTAGGTATTACTGGGCTTTACACGCTTACATCCCTGGACACAGCGCGCTGCACAGAAGCCCAACAAGTTACATTATGTGCAAACAGCATGTGAATTGCCAATGTCGTGCTTAAAACACTGCCAATGATGCTGTATGTTTTATGTACTGAGATCTGCAGTGTCATAACATATTTTTAGATGTACTAAAACTAAGAACTAATCTTCCAAAACACTCTATGAAGTGTATCCACAGCAATGCTACAACTCAGAAATTATTTCTAGAGAGCTTTCTAGACAAAAAGTATCAATGTTACTTATGCGTAACACAAGCCAGCACTTTGATGAGCTAATGAAGTGGTATTGTGCCAATTAGTTTCTCTTATTTGTTAAACCCAAATCATTGCTCAAAAACATTATAGCTACCTGGCACGTGGAAACGGCTGTTGTATCATGGGCTAAAAACATCAATTTCACAGCAGTACAGCAACTTAGAGGCAGTTCCTTATTTCTGAATCAATCGGCAGCATATTTTTAATTTTACTATTTAATTTGAATTTTGTTTCTCTTTCAACATTTCCTTTTAAGAGATAATTACAAATTTTGTAAAGCAAAAGGCTTAACTATGACTTCCACACTTTTCTCAGTATTTAAATTTTCATTTTGATGCAACCTATCATCAACAAAAAATACGTATTACTCTCTTCCTTTTACTTATATGGACATCGATCCTGCAAAAGATAATTTGACATTTTAAGGCAGTTTTGGGACTGCAAGACAGCAGAATATAAAGCTCACTTACCCGTCTGAATCTTGACTCTGTGTAGTTTAGATGTGAACTGATCATTCACTGTAAATATATGACCATTTTCTATTTCTTTTGATTTAGGCTCTTTTGTAAGAACACGTTGTGTCGGTTTGCCGCATGCAAGGGACTGTAGGGCTCGAACCAGTTCTCTTTCGGGGATATCAGTTTCCTGTTGAATTTCCTAAAGAAAAATATCTTAATTAGTTTATGGCTATGGCAGAAGTAAGTATCATGTTTTGCAAACAGCAGCACTGATCGCTTGAAGCATCCACCTTCAAGCATGCAAAATAATACTATGACAGTTGTGAGGCTTGAAAGGTTGGAATTCATTCGGTAGCAAAGTCTCAATATGTGCTATGCAAAGTGATCCACCTGGGTCAACGCACAGACAGTGAATTCAGTCAAGTAAATAGTCACCATGAGCTGAAAACGGAAGAATGAATAAATCAGCTGTTTCATTTTACTGTCATTTCTGAGAAGGCTGAAAGGATTCGTTCACTGCCTCCAACATTTGCTGAACAGAGTGAAATCAAACCTTCTAAGTAACTCAGTGATGGAAAACGTCCATGATGTTCCTGAGCGTTCCTGATGAAGAACTGCATAAATGCTTTTGCATTCAGCAGCACTGTTGAAAATAAGATCTTTACAAATGGAAGTAAACAAGGTCTAGTTTCACCGTTAACATAGAAATACTCTAGATTAATTACACCTGCTTTCTGAATAACCTGAAACAATTTATTTACAGCCCAGATGCCTTTGGCTAGGGCTTCCCCAGGTGAAATACAAAAAAACCCCCATCATCGTGCAGCAAACGTATGAACTTTGAAGAAGAGTATTTGTAAAAACATGTACACAGCTTGCTGCACCTCTGTCAGTACTCTTAGGAGTTCAGCTGAGAGCCATATGTCAGATAAGTCACCAGTGATCATGAGTAAGTAAGAAAATTATACTGGATGCAGAACCATGTCTTAACATGCTTTAGGAGTAGGCCAACTACTTCTGCTTCCTCAAACCTCACTTGTTTACTGAGCTCCCATTCATTAGAAGTTCATTTTAGCCTTATCTCCATTTTCTTCCTTTTTCTAGTTTGAGGAAACTGCAGACATCTCTGATTTCACATTCCCGTTCAGACTCTTGAGGGACGTCTAGCAGCTAAAGATTAAGCCACCAAATAGAAAAAATAAACCGCACAGACATGTAGCTGTCCACAAGAGCTGTCACTTTCCCAGCTTCCCCACCCTCAGTTCCAAGAGCAGTATCAAGCTCTTCCACTGTCCCCATAAATTCCTAATGCTCATGGCACACAAGTCAAACCGATGACCTTCAGGCAAAAAGCAGCAGTAACAACTCCCAGTGATCAAAATGCTAAGATCTGTAAAGAGCCGTAAAGAACTTGTTGAAAGTTCTTTAAACAGTGACTAGAAAAATCAAATTTCAGAGTACAACTAAGTTCTATTAAATGATGTTATTTCTTGAGTGTACTCAAGTTTTTTTTAAAATCAATCCAGAAAAAATGCTACTCTTCTGCAGTCATCCACCACTGACAACATGCAATAAAAATAATTTGGATGTACCGGCCTCTACGCGGACTCTGTCATTAATTACAGTGCACCTCATATATATCTCACTACCAGGTCTCCGTGATGCCAAGGCACAGACCCAACTTTACATGTACAATGTTGACTCTACGTGAGATCATGTGAAATTGTGTTTTTGACACAAGTTCAAATTCATTTGAAAGAGGTAAATTAAAAAAGAATAATAATCAGTAAGTCTAAAATTTAAAAATGTCAGAATTTTTGATACCTACTGCTTATGGATGATTGGGAAAGAATAAAGCGTTCTTAAACTTAACGAGTATTCTTAGCATAATGCATTCAGAAATATTCTTAGTATTTCAAGTAAGTGACATGTATCCACATATTTTAACTGTTTGCTAGTATCAAAATGCCTCTTCCCAAGCAGATCATAGAAAGTTACTATTTCTTCATGTGTTGCTTTATTTAAAACACAATTGTCACCTTCACGCATTTTCTCCAGATCCAGCACAAAGTACTATTAAAAAAAACCCTAAAAACACTATAATCCTTTACATGGTCACAAACAAAAAGCCTTACTGAAATGGATTGATCAGCATAAATTCAACAAACCAAAGGAAGGTGACACTTTGGATTTTAGGACTTAAGGAAATGTAAAGCCTCGAGGCTACAAACCAAATCCAGCTCATTGACGATGTAGCTCCCAAACTTTGATTTTTGATCAACACCTAAAATTAATCCTTTCAAAACTAAATCACTTCTACAAGGAAATATATATATTCTGCTTTTGATGAAAGTGAAACAAAGAGCTCAAATGGAATTTGAGGTTTTTTGATGCTAAACATCCTTATACTAACCACTATGTATTTCTGCGTTGATTTTACTTCACTCTGTAGCATTGCAATTCAGCCACTAACGTATGCAAACCATTTGGGTTTCAGAATTTATAAGCTAGCATTAAAATAAGAACCACAGAAAGAATTGCACTGCAATATGCTGCCTCAGGAGAAGGCAAAATCCTCAAGTTGGATAAAAAAGTGTAGCTATGAATGTAAATGGGGATAACAGATGTTCCTGTGCTCTCTTTTTCCTTCAGTCTGTAGCATATCATTTTTCTAAACATATTTTTATATAGCTATTTGATGTAACAGTGAAAAACATATACCTTTTTTTCCCCATCTCCAAAAATGCCTTATTTTAAAGCCCACACTAGAGTCGTGCACAAGAGCAGTACCGATGACACAATTTTAGTTCTAAAAGTATTACCAGGTGAGCTCTATCTGGAGGCTACAAGAGAGATGATTCTAGGCATGGAACTGCCTCTGGCCAGTTCTTCACGAGAAAGAAGTTTATTAGAAGGAAAACATACAGAAGGAAATTAGAAGGAAAAACATTATGTCATTTTGTTGAAATGACAAAAAAAAAAAAGAGAAAGATTTTTATTTACAGACTTCAACTTGTATATCTTCCAAAGCAGAGATCAGCAAAAGACAAAACAGGTAAGCCAGTTTTAAGTTCTAATCTCTCATTTTTGTGGAATTATTCAACAACTTTACTTCTACAGTCATATTTGTATTTCTTGTTTGTTAAGCCTAATGAAAGAACCAAAAATTTTCCCCTTATTTTTGATGTCATCACTAAGAAATTGCATTTCACCCTTCAAAATACTGAGATGTACTGCAAACTAATGGAAAAATACGTTGAGTATTAGATGAGACTTGATTAGAAGAAATGGAATTCTTTGAAAAAAATCAGCATTCTTTGAAGGCTTGCATGAAGCTCCTTCCTCCTAGATTCAAATAGCATTAACCTAGACCCATGTGGCCACCAGTTCTTTTCCATACATAAATAAAAAGTTGCTGTATAGGAATACAATAAATTCATACGTTTTTGTGAAGGAATTTTGCTATGCAATAATCCTCTAAGTTTCTGTAGCATTTTACGTGTAATTTTTGCATCATCATGATCCCATTTTTCTCTCAATCACATGGCCTAATGGCTATTGGGATTATTGTGAGGGTCTTGTCAAGTTTGCGATTAATAATCACACTGAATGCAAAACAAAACAGCAAAGTCTGTTCAACTGTGAAGGCAACTTCAAATTAATCTGTTTAGCTGTGAATCTGCAGAAACACTTGTATATCAGACAGTTTTATGCTTACACAAGCACTCGCCATAAGTCATCTCTCATGCTATGTTGCAGTAAAAGCACTAATTTGATACGACAGAGAAGTAACAGTTGCCCAGCACTCAGCAATTAATCATGGTATTCAATAATCAATGAACAAAGATAAAATTCATTCTACTCTTAAGTTTTCGTAAGCTTTCCTGGCTGGAGTTAAAGACAACTCCCACACACTTCACCAAAGAAACCAAACAAAACAAATAGGCCTTCTTAATGTTTTAGTTACAGTGGGACACAAAGTAAGAGTTTAAGAACTCCCAAACCAGAAATAAACAAAATGTACACAACCTAAAAGCACACGGACATATTCCTCCATCATCTGCTCTTAGTAAAATAAACTTTAGAGCACATATTAAAAATTGTATTTTTTCACTGCTCTACCAAGTATTATTTACTCATATATGGGTGAGGCTCTACTACTCATAAAGCCTACCATTTTGTGGAATAAGGTAGCCACCAACTCAATTTCAACACCAACTTCAAGAAAAAAGGAGCTGTTAAGTCCCTGTCTTCCCCCCCCCCCCCCCCCCCCACCTCTCCTTTCTGCAGAGAAAGTACTCAAAGCTGTAATGCTCCTGCAATAGATTTCACAACACACAGGACTTTCTGTGCTCTAAAATAATCTTTTTTTTTGAACTATGAGTAGTTTATTGAGAGCCTCTTGTCAAATCCTGCCTTCCTTAATCCCAACTGAGACCGTTTCAAAGAAGCATTCTTTATTAACAGGCTAGAAGTATGCCAAATAAGCTGAAAACAAAATCCAAATAAAAAGGCAAATGATTACTATGCATAGCACAGTCAAAAGTAGATGAGAAAACCTGGAAACCCACTCCATTTCAAACTGCACCCATACTGCTCTTCAAGGCTGCCAATGCTCTCACAAACAGAAGGCAACATCTAAACCAAAACTATTAATTGACATTAACAATACAATGCTCAAACCTCACAGCACAGGATCCTCCTCCACTCCCAAAGCCTTCTTCATCATTGTCTATCAGCTGACCGCTTCAACCTTTCCCAGCAACGCCCCTCTAGTCTCCTTGTTAAGAATCTATCTGGACCTTCTTCATTGTCCCTTCTGGCTCACCAGCTCAGAGAACGGATGAAAGTCCTTTGATTTATCCTACAGCTCACTCCAGCCTGCCAATTTAAGCACTTCAGTGTTTAAGAAGCCAGGATACAAAGCCTTCTCCACCCTTTGGCCTCTAAATCCAGTTTCTCAAAGATAAAATGAGCAAATGGAGCCACCTGCTGCATTCCAACTTCAGCTTTTCTATAGCTGTATGGCCTAGGAATAACCACACTCACAACTCTCCCTCAACATTTCTGAAAACTTCTGTTCCCAAATAATTTCCTCCCCTAGGATTGCTTCCCAGGCGCATTGCTAACGATCTGCTTCCTGTATCTATTGGCCTGATCCACACTCAAATAGAATGAGAGGCACCTGATCTTCAAAGGTCTATTCAAGAGGACAAGAAAGTGCCTAAAACTGTTATTTAAAATCAGGCGAGAAAACCACAGCGCTTACCTCAAATGTATATTTTTCTCTGTTGTTAAAGAGCATTAATATCGTCATCTGGAAAGTGGAGACTTGCAATATGTGCTTCCGTGTATTTGAGCCAGTTACTTGGGCGCCTCCTACGCCAACCTCTGAGCCATCTTCCTATTTTAAAATTACAAAATTACTATTAGATTATTCTCCACTGCAAAATACTTGACCTCAGTAAAATGAAAGTTATATGATGAAATAAGTATCTAGGAGATCAGCCTACACAAGTGATAGAATAGCATACGCCTGGTGGCATAAACAGAATGTCTCTCCAGTAGCTGCCTTAGAATCACGGGGTGATTGAGGTTGGAGGCACCTCTGTAGGTCCCACAGTCCAGTCACCACCCAAAGCCAGGCCATGCAGAGCAGGATGCTCAGGGCTGTGTCCAGTCAAATACCGCGCGTCTCCAAGGACGGAGACTCCACCACCTCTCTGGCCCCTGTTCCGCTACTTGCCCATCATCCTCCAAGTTTTCTCACTCTTATCTTTAGAATTACCAAAATATTTATCCCACAGTAATACAATTTTAACATCCTCACAATTGCACATTATTAATACTTTGTGTTATAAAAATGTTGTTTTCATTTTGCATTGCCTTCTACGTTCCCAAGCATCATGCCGTTACTACCTCTACCTTAGAATTTTAGAACTGGTCTGAATCACTAGCAAGTTATTTTCTTGTATACACAAACATTAAGCATTGTACTGCCATAAACTCTACTAAGACTCTCATGTCTGAAAAAATGTTGTCTACATTGCTAGCACTCTGCATATGAAAAGCAGGCTAAACTTGGCTTAACAACGCTTTTTCACATTAACAAAAATTACTCTAAAGAGAAACAAGTTTCATTTCACTTTTGACTGATTCACAGTCAAAAAACCCCAAAACACTCAAACCATTGAGGTCCCTTCAAGATCAAAATTACTACTTTTCTACGAGGTAACAAAGAGATGATGCTGAGTGATGCATCCAAATTAGATTTAGAGGGGAAAACAAAGTCAAAACAAAACTGCTCAAAGGAAGAATCAGACTATAAAGCCATGGAAGGCATCTTTTTCTTATTCTTACATTATCAATGGGTAAGCTTTTATTTTACAAAATTCTGAAGTTATTACAAATAACTTGCTTACTTTTAAGAAAAGATACAATGTTTTCATAATCTTGATACTCTACCTTTTTAACAGGCCCATAGAAAGTGGCATTGAGATCTGCAGAACCCATATGATGCTGGAGTGTCAGCTGTCGCCCGCTATGTTTGGCTAAATAAAATCTGTAATATAATTGAATCAAAAACTTAATACATAGTTCACATTTTGTATCTAAGAGGAAATCGCTTTAAACAGTTACATAGACCTTTCATCGCCATTAGGGACACTAAGAAATGTCTAACTTTCGCTTTTTCAAAACATTAACTGTCATTAGAATGCTAATTAAAAGCTCCCAAAAACTCAAGCCTCATAATGTGACTATTGCATTCTCTAATTTTCGCATGAACTGAAGAGCAGCAGTACGCTAGCATGTCTTTAACGGTACAACATACCTGTAAGTTAAGTTTAGAAAGTTTCTTCTTAAAACCCCTACCTAAAAATCTGTTTTAATACATACCTTCTAAATATTTCAAAAGCATGTCTGGGAGCTGGAGGGATGTTGCACTTTGGTGTGGCTGACTGAGTAGGCCAGTAACCTGTTGTGAGGACCCGCACTGTAAGATCAACACCACCTAATGAGACCTAAGGACAATTGGAAGAAAACATCCATTATTTTAAAACAGGATCACGTTTCACCGTTTTTCTCTATCAGTGTAGAACGCATAGAATTTTCACAGACTAAGAAATAAACGGACATATATCTATAAACATTATTTTTACAAAGCCAGACAAATGAATTCATCACTATCAGAGCAGATGGTACAGCAAAAATCCTCCACATTATTGCCCTCTGGCATTTCAGAGCGTACAGAATTTACAAAATAAATTCTTAACCAAGAATGAAACGTCCGTGATCATAAACAGAACTCATAACACATGTAACAATTCTTTCCAAACAGGTTTTTGACAACATACAGTAAAGCCAGGTCGCTAAACATACCAGTTTCAAAATGACTGTTTTATAAATTTCCTCTCTGGAAGCAGAGAGTAAATACCGACTATCTAATGTTAAACCACAGGGAGCTTTTCCTGCACTTTACCTCTGGACTGCAACATAAACAGTTACTCACTTTTACACACACAACCTAGCCACTTTCCCTAAAGACAGCCGTTACCATAAATACTCAGCACCGGTTAGGAAACATTCTCCAACTGAAGTGCTGATCTATAAAGTAGTTCTGTTAGTAGGTGATAAACGTCTGGCTACCAGTGAGGCATAATCCTCACCAGGTATCTCAACTAAGCTGAATATTATTAAACTTAAAACTGACTACTTTCAGCTCTAGGAGGTGTAACTAATACCTTCAAAGAACACACATTACGGACAAGAAAAACCAAAGCATACTATATCCGACTTGTTATAAACCTACGACACAGAAAGAGAGCACATTATATTTTGGAAGGTCAAAAACTGTCACATGAACTCAGAAACTTCCACTATTAAATAGCAGAGTAGCATTTCCATGCACTACAGAAGAGGTTTTGTATTGTGCGTGTTGAATGCCTGCGTGCATCCACACACTTGTGCCTAGGAACCTTCCGAAAAATCTAGACAGACCGGTGACAGGCTACTCATACAGAAATCCCTGTGACTGGATTTCATTAACGGTCAAGAGGAACCATTTGCAAAAGTATGTAAAGACCCATATAAAGATTGTTCTGTAGCCAACATTACTGCCATGCTTCTAATTTCATATCACCAATGTCCTGAGGCTCACAAGAGAAATTCAAACAGCCACTTAGACACAGGAAACTAGTTAATCTGTGAATCACCAAAAAAAAAGCTTCAACAGTTTTCTCCCTCCAGCCAAAACATAGGGAAAGGCCATCAATGCAGACAGAAAGATACAGGAAATATCTTTATCTGGAACTGAACCATCTTAGTTGAGATGGCAACAGTTTCCTGAATTTTTTTGGTCTTAGCCAGACCAGAACACAGCATTAATTTAGAATGCCTCACATCACACATTATACAGAGCACTGAACAGTTTGTGACTTGAAAAAGTTTTGGAAGCACTTCATTTTACAAGGTATTTTACAGCATAAAAATGGTATGAACTAATGGAAAGTGCCTTGAAGTGATCTAATCTTTACAGAACTCCAACAAACTGAAGTTTCAGGTTCGCATTTGTAGAAATTACTCATAATCCATTAGCTTGGACTTTCCCCAGTCCTGAGCTTTCCACTTACTGATAGCAAACCAAGCATCATCTACGCAGTCCTTGGCACTACCTATACCTCAGGATATAGGATCCAGCAGGAGACTTTGCAGGTAGGATTATTTAGAGAAGAGCAGATGCCTGCCTTCTCTAGGAGGCACCATACATACTCAAGGTACACAAATTGTTTAAGAAGGAGTAGAACGGACTATTTCATACAGAACACAGTATCGTCAGTAGGTTAACAGTAACATAAAAACCCCAAAATCTTCCTGTTTGTATTTCTTCTCAAATATTATTGACACTAATAGAAATATATACGCTTCCATCATAAATAAGTCCTCCAGAAACTTCATTAAAAGGCCATGATTAGGCTGACCAAAAGGCACCATCAGGTGAACTGCTGGTCCCTTGCCAAGGAAAAGATGAAGTTTGAAATTAGGCCGAGCAGAATATCCCCTAACATTTTAGTCATCTTATTGCTGTACGTAGCTAGAAAGAAGACAGACACATCATTTATTAATTCACTTAATGTAAAACTGTCACGTAAAGTACAGGAATCTTTAACCCCCCCCCCCGTGTACAAGTCCCACATGCTACCTAAAAATGGGAATGCTCTAACAAATTGTTCTTGAAATTAGTATTTCAAGCATTCTAGAAGGAAAACATGATTAGCCTTCTAAAGAAAAAAAAGCAGTAGTAAAGCTGCCTGTCCACAAACACCTTTATATCTATCCACCTGTGCTTCTACAACCTTTTCTGAAACCACTTTGAGACCATCCCGTTCTTTCACTCATGATGATTCGCAATATGCTGATGAGGAAGGTTTCAGCTGACCGCTTCAAGGCAGCAAAGATTTCAGATCGCCTTGCACAGCCCGGGACATCGGGCAGAGTACACCCATGAACATATTCCTGGCAGTCAGATTTCTGAAACCGATTCAAATGTGCTTGATGTACAGACTTACTTACCTGCAGATGGGGAACTACTTGGCTGTTTATTATATATTATTAAACACTACTGAGTATCAGTATGGAAAAAAGTGTTTAGAGCAAGTAAAGTGGTATCTCAAAATAGAAGCGATCTCTCCATTATGCAATATTCCAGAGGTCCCCCTCTACAACAAGGTGTGACACTTCTTCATTGAACAATTAAGTCCATATTTGGCAATTTGAATAAAATCATACTTCTGCTTTTAATAAAGGCATTAACTGCATCAGGAAAGTTAAATGTGAGATGATATGTTTGCCAAATACCTGCAGCACGCAATATTTTTCTTGCTGTTAGCATAAAACACGGGTCGCAACGAAGATTACCTTTAAAGAATGAGAAAGGGAAGACTCCGCTGGTGACCCGGCGTTTCTGAAACGCACGTGAGGGCAGGCGGGCGGCCCCAGGAGCGCGGGAACAGACGGGCGGGGAGGGG